CTGGTGGACGAGCCGGTACGTACGGGGACGCTCCGTCTAGCGCGCGGTGAATCCCTAAAAGTTAACGGGGTATCCCTAGCACTGCCTTTCTGGCCGGAGTCAACCCAAACGGCGAAGGCGCCGCCGCGTTGACTTGACTCTCCGGTCACCAAAGCGGCCGCCTCTTGGGCGTGCGTTTATCTGCGTCGCCGACCGCTCCGTGGGTTTCTTCCCCGCAGGATAACGACAACGCCCTCCGCGACGACTTCAGCTTCAGCAGCAGTGCCCTCATCGGGCTCCTGGTGATCGCCGTTGCCATAGCTACTGTCATAGTCATCAGCCTGGTGATGCTGAGGAAGCGGCAGTACGGGACCATCAGCCACGGCATCGTGGAGGTGAGGAACAACCCCTGCTCCGGAGCGGCGGACGGAAATAGTCCGCCTTGACTCACATGTTGTGTGTAGGGGGTGAAGACGACGGCGTTGGCGAGAGCTGCCGAGCCAGCAAGTGCTTTTGCCTCTAGCACGATGGGACTTAACGCTCTAGACGCCGGCGTCGTTGGCGTGCAGCGAGTACCGCTGTCGCTTGCCGGTGGTACTCACTTACCACGAGGAATTCAATTAAGCTTCCCTGTCTGGCTCGGGGTAGGATTTAACAGGAAATGAGCTTTTTGGGCGGTATCTTTAGGAAGGGAGCAAGCCAAACTCTAGTAATTTGTCCTCCCGACCAACGTAGCAACTGTTAAGACGTTGTGATCAACTGAGCACGGAGAAGCAGGTTCCTTCTCCTTCCTTCACTCCCGACCTGCATGTGTCTAATGGCAGCTCAATGGAGTCTGCAGAAAGGGGCATTTCCCCTTTGCCCAACCGGTGAGTGAAGTGAAAATGACCCGTTCTGTGAGAGAAAAGAGCCCCAAATTGTAGGATTTATGTTGGGTAACTGGGCAGAGATCTGGGGAGAGCATCCTCTCAGAAGCCAGAACAGATGGGAGGAATTAAGACCTGAGCAAGGGACTCTGCTGAGGAAATTATCTTTTTTTTTGTGCTTTGCTTGTTTGCCCATTTACTTCTTGCCACCGCATTCATTCAGATCTTGTATAATGGCTGTTGTTACTCTCAAAGAAAGCAAAACCCCTCCCTTGACCACTAATTCTGTGGCCTTTTTAAAGGTTGACCCGATGCTCACCCCCGAAGAGCGGCATCTGAGCAAGATGCAAAACCACGGCTACGAGAACCCCACTTACAAATACCTGGAGCAGATGCAGATATAAAAGAGATGAAGATGCAGTGGCCCTGATCAGAAAACGAGCAGGGTGGGAGGGCCAAAGTGGTCCAGCGTTTTGGATCGACTACTGACCAACAGTTGCTTCGAGAGGACTTCATCTTACATTCAGAACTCCTGGATCATTAAGACTATAATTACTACTGTAGAGTTGCAATTTCCATTCTTTTAAATGGGTGAAGAAATGATAATATAACAATATGATATATAAATCTCCTTTAAATGGGAAAAAATGGATCTATTGCAGATATTTGACTGAGATGTAGTTTTCTTTTTTTTTTTCTTTTTTTTTTTATCTGAAGAATACCAGTTCCGTTGTACTGTTGTCTGATACAAGCTCTATATATATAATGGGAAATGTTGATTTTTATTTCTGATAGACCACCTGTACATTGAGGGTCCTTTGTACCAGCCCGCCTTGTAAAAAGGAGACAGTTGTGGCTCTTCGGTCATTCTGGCTTTTATATATGAAGCAGTATTTTTGTTTTTCCTTTTTTTTTTTTTTAAGTGACTTTTGCTGGGAGTTGCAAAGAGATTAATTTAGGGTTAGGAACTCTGAAAGCGTAAGCGAGGAAGCAATTTGGAATGATAACTAATGAAACAAAATCGTTATAACAAAAAAAAAAAGGAAAAAAAAAGAGAAAAAATCCCCATCCTCATATGCCAGTGGTGTGCGCCCTGCTGCTTGGCAGTGTGGGCTCTTGGAATCCAGACTCCCTGAAGGCGAGGAGTTAAAAGGCTTCTAGCATCTCTGTTTATAGCTCTTCTAGTGGAATGTTAGAGCATGGTTTGTGCATACTGGGGTCTGCACACTCCCCTTTCAGATTCAGTTCAGCTCTAGAGTTGGAAGTTCCTGGTAATGAATTTAAATCCTCCGATCGGAACCGGTTTCCTTCAGTACTCACCTGGCATTAACGGCCCCCTCTTGCTACTACTTTCTAATTTTCCCCGGCTCTCCTGCCTCGCCGACGTGGTAAGTAGTTAGAGACGCGATTTTCTGGAACCTCTGCGTCTCTTGCAGGGTCGTTGGGCCCTAGACCTGGTTTTGGGGCGTTTGCCCAGAAACGACAAATCATCGCCGTAACCGGAACTTTGGGAGCCGACGAACACGGAGTTTGCTTTATCCGGGGAGAGAAAAAGAGGGCTAATTTGGGACAGGGATACTGCCTGCTTTAAGGAAATTGGATGCGTAGGCCCCGAGAAGAACAAATTGGGTATTATTCCACTCACCATCATGTCTTTGTAATGCTTGTATAGTTGGTGTTAATGCTCACGGCTTTTTTAAATCTGGAGGTTCTGGTAACCTGTGGTGTATTTTTTCTATTTTTCCTGTGACTTTACTTTCTTTCTCCTTCCATGTCTCTTCCCACTATGCACAGATTTACCTGCAAACTCCTTAGTGTGGTCTGTGGGGAATGTACAAAGTTTAAACACATCAATAAACACTTTAACTTCCACGTCGTTTCCGCTCTTTATTCGGGGCCTCGCTTAGTTTCCCTCTTCTCCCACCGTGTCCTTGCCAAACCTACAGGGACTTTTCCCCATCTTTTTGCCCACCTCTGCTTTGCTTATCATCTGAGGAGGAATGGGTTAATATGGGGGAAAAAAAGCTGTTCTGCCCGGACTTAGAGCTGCAAGTCTTAAAATAGGGTCGGACGGACACGGGGAAGCTGCAGAAGATGGTCCAGCTCCAAAGTGCACGAGGAGACAAGTCTCAAATTGTTGTTTTTTATGGTTCATCTTGTGGGCGACTTAGAGCGAAGACGTGAGGAGCCCTCGGCAGGAACTTGGGCATTTAGGATTACGAGGAGACAGGTCTCAATTTGTTGTTTTATGGTTCCTCTTGTGCGCGACTTAGAGCTGAAGACGTGAGGAGGCCTCGGCAGGAACTTGGGCATTTAGGATATCCCTTTATGAAGGGGAATAACTTGACTGTTTGGTGTAACCTTCTCTTCCAGACGTCTCAAACCAACAGCCTGTCAAGCTCGCAGCTGGCACCGCTTCTGTGTGTCATTTCTCTTCTGGTTTCCTCCTCTGAAGCGTGACCTGGAGCGCAAATCCCTCCGCAACCGCCGAAGCCTCGTTGCCACTTGAACGCTGCTTTTGGAGGTGGAGATTTAGTCTTCCTTCGCCTTGACCTGAGCCGTTTCCAGTGGGTCTTAAGGCAGGGAGAAGAGGTGGGTGAAAGCGCGAAGCAAAAGCCAAACAATTTTACGTTAACGAGCGCATCCCGTTTCCCCGTAAACGTGGGCTCCGCTGGAGCTTCCATGTTCTGGCTGAATTATTCAGGCTCTGCAGGAAAGAGCAGATGCTGTCCTAGAAAACGCCGTCTGTTGGCTTGTTACAACTACTTGGGGAGACTTTTAACTGTAAATTTAATTTCAAGTGATGCCGGAGCAGATCTCAAATCCAAAGCTGTTTCTTGGATCGCAGCCTCGGTCGGGCTAACCTGAAACGGAAAGAAAACGCTGTTTCTGAGAGGCTCTGTTTCTGTTAGAGCCTCTTCACTGAACTCCAGAATTGAATTTGGGCATCGGGTTTTTTCCTTCACTAAATTCTATTAGTGCTACAGATTAAATACATTAGACTGGAATCTAAGTCGGTTAGTCGCGTGCCTCGACGTGCCCTGCCGAGCGCTCCGAATCGATCCTCGATGATGGGTTTTGCCTGCAGCTTCTGGAAACCCAATGTTTGCAAATACCTGTTTGAGGATCGGGGCTAAAACGTGCCCTGCTTGATCACGGCTTCACCTCCTGGGTGGATGGCTGGGAAATATGTCACTGGGAGAGGGGGACAGACGTGGTGCTCAATAACCTCTTCCAAAATTGTTATTTGGAAGCGAAGCAACTTGGGCTATTCCATGGTTTGAGTTTGAAACATCCCCCAGGATCTCGGAGCTGTGTTTAGTGTCCCCAGGACGCCGTGTCTTTGAGCCTGAAGCAAAGAGAAGAAATCCTAAAAATCTGCAGATGGCATCTAAGTGAAAAGAGGAGTTTTTAGACAGCTCTTTGCATTGCTGCTCGGTTTGGGGGGTGCTGTTTGGGAAAGGGTGGTTATTTTCCATGCACTTAAGTTGTTTTTTCCCTCGTTTCCAGGTCACGAAGCACAGGCCTGCCCGGGAACGGAGCGCAGCCGGTTCTCTCCAGCCCGGCCTGGCCATAGGCAAGGTGAGTAATAACCATTTTCCCCAGCACGGTTGTTTGGCAGGGAATAATCCTGCAACTGGCGCAGGTTGGAAGGGGCACCTGCGGAAAGGACCTCCGAGCGGGATGCCCAGTGCAGGATAATGGTGCCTTTTCCCCCCAGCAGCTTATTTAGGCTGAAAACTACCCCTTCCCATGACCAGTGGGTTATAGGAAACATGCAAGCCTGCTCCTTCGCTGGGCAAATGGATGTGTCTGGGTTTCCCTTCCTTGTGAGGCCCCTCTTTGCTCTGTCCTCATGGGAAGCAGAGCTGAGGGAAGGGCCCCAACTAGCAGCATTTGTGATTTTTCAAGAGCCCTGTGGATGTAACAGGACAATCTGCTTTACAGGCCCTGAGATGCAGTCGTGTCCTGCGTGGATAGGAATTTCTGCAGACCCCGAGGTCAGAAGGAAGGAGACGTTCTCGACCCAGCGCCTTTGGAGAACTCCTCGTGGGATGGAAGAGAAGTGAATTACTACCGAGAGCATCACGGGACTGCGAAGCACCGAAATGGCCTTCATTTCCCAAGCTGACACATGGAGAACTTGAGGTTGGAGGTAAGGAAAATACGAAGGGACAAGACTTGTCTCTTGCTTATAGTCCTAGTCACTTAAGTCTCTTTAAGATAGAGAAAGCTTGAATTTCTTATGAAGGCCTCAGTCTATCAATGATGATGGTTCATAAGAAATGCATTCTAGTCTCCAGCATGTGCTCTGAACCGGGCGTCCCTTCGTCTTGGTTTAGATGGCCAAGCTGGTGCGTTTTTCTTGTGCTGTCCCCTCATCATCCCTTTCACGAGCTCCACATCCCTGGCGGGTGCTCTAAACTGCCTATAAAGCAGCAGCAGCTTCTGTTTTTTTGCAATGGACTTAGACAGGGGACTTGTATCTTGAGATATTCAGTGTGTTCGTGCATTCTCTGTCTTTATAGACTCTGAACAGGAAGAAGTGGAGGACCGGACAGAGCCCATCCAGCTCCTGCCTTCTCCTGTGGGTGTGTTGGAGATGCCTCTACAAAGAAAAATTGAAGCTTCAGTGCAGAAACCAGCCCTATGATCCTGAAGATCTCAATTTTCAATGAAGGACTTAGAAAATTGGCCTCTTTTTCTTATAGACTTATGTAATTGATAGGTCAAGGAGGATGGGATTGAGCTTGTGCAGTAAAGCTGGACCACACTCTTAGTTAACTGGTGGAGAGAGCGTGCTTTGTAATGATGTTTTCTTGTATGCACAATTATTTTCTCCTGTGTATTATGTGTGTATCTGTGAAGCAGTGCTGTTATGGATCTCCACTATTAATATTATGGCTGTAATCCTTTTTTTTTGTATCTCTGTATGGACCCATGCAGCACTTTGTCATTTTTTTTCCCCTCTCTAGGACCTGAGGCTCTTGGCCTCAATTTTTAGATATTAATAAAACCGTAAGAGCAGGGCCCCTTTTCTGGTTTTGCAATGGACTTAAGATATTCAGTGTGTTCAAGCATTCTTTGGCTTTATAGACTCTGATCAGGAAGAGATGAAGGGACTGGACAGAGCCCATCCAGCTCCTGCCTGTGTGTTGGAGATGCCTCTACAAAGGAAAATTGTAATTCTTCAGTGCAGAAACCAGCCCTATGATCCTGAAGATCTCATTTGTCAATGAAGGACTTACATAGGAAAAACAAGCCTCTTTTCTAATTGATAAGTCAAGGAGGATGGCACTGAGCTTGTCCAGTAAAGCTGGACCACACTCTTAGTTAACTGCTGGAGAATGTGTGCTTTGTAATACTGTTTTCTTGTATGCATCATTACTTTCTCCTGTATATTATGATGGCCCCTGTGAAGCAGTGCTGTTATTTATACTATGGCTGTAATCCTTTTTTTGTATCTCTGTATGGACCCATGTAGCACTTTGTCATTTTTCCCCCCCTCTCTAGGACATGAGGCCCTGGGCCTCATTTTTTAAAAAAATAAAAAACATAAAAGCAGGGCCCCTTGTTTGTTTTTTCTGGAATACTAGACGCCAGGGCCGAACCTATCTCGTGCGTTTGGGCTTTGGGGGCAAGGGGGACTAACGCAGCTCTAATTAGAGCTGACTTATTTTTATATTAGAGTCCACTCTACTTAGAGCGGACTCTAATATAAAAATACATCTTTTTATATTAGAATCCACTCTACTTATTCTAATATAAAAAGATGTATTTTTATATTAGAGTCCGCTCTACTTAGAGCGGACTCTAATAGAAAAATATTTTTCTATTAGAGTCTGCTCTACTCTAAGTAGAGCAGACTAATATAGAAATATGACTTAGGTTTTTGAAAGTGGAGATAGGAAGATGCTTGGACTTAGGAAGATGAAGATGATGAAGATGAAGATGCTTGGACTTAGGAAGATGCCTCTTTGGGTTCCCAAGAGAACATTGTGTTGGACTTAAACACATGTGGGGCAGCTGCTTCCTTGCAGAGATCTCCAGGCTGCATCCTCATGAGCTTCTTGACTTGCACTGGACAGCAAAGAGATTGAACCCCCTTGTTCCAAGTTACCTTTTATTTGGAAGCCTTGGAGCTTGCAGCAGGTGGAGCACAGCAATAGGGGAACTGATGCAGCACTTAGAATAAAACATAACATTAAAAGCATAACAAAGCATTGAAGCACTTGGTCAAAACAAGGAAGAAGTACTGTTTTCTCCAGAGGGAGCTAATACACACCTGTCTTCTCATATTTATAATTCCTTTGCTACTTGGACTGATGGAGTCGCTATTCCTGCACTTAAACCTGTTCCAAAAATTTTGGTCCAAAATATAAAATACTTTCTGTAGCCGATGAAGCCTCAAATTCACACGACAACTTCATTACATCGTCTTCTCCAGGAGTGAGGCTGTTGAAATTATAGCTAATTTAGCAAGTCTTAAGCATTTCTGACACTTTTAAATAGTACTGGTCATACCTGGAAATTGTCCACACGTGTTGCTAATCTAGGATAAAAAAGCAGACCATAATCCATAACTTATATATATAGTTGTGGTTCCACCAAGGTCTTCCTCAAGACAGCAGCTACTTAGAAACAAAGTAACTCTCTATATATGTATATATATATGTATATATAAACATAATAACATTCTTACAGTCATTAGGCAAAAAAAATGCAATAGCTGGAATTTTTCCATTCTTCATCCTTGGATCCTCCTGTAAAGATGAAGGAGATGCAGCTTTGTAGGCCCATAGCTTCACAGCGGCTTCTGTAATGAAGAATATGGATATTACTTTGGTTAAAAACAGAACTGGTGCTAAAGATTAAGTGCAAAACTACTTGCTTTGAGACCAGAGCTAGCTTAGTGATTAACTTATTATTTTAAATATAGGCCAGGCCGGCTCCATTATTATTAATACAATCCATCTGCTAATAATTAATTTATAATATATTATACAATATACATAAAATATATGTTATTAAGAATAGAACTATTCCGCTGACGGTGATAAGATCAAGAAATAACTAAAAACCCCATCAGCTGCTAGAAACCACTTAAGTTTTGGCACAACTTACTTGGTGTTGGTGCGCTCTGCAACTAGATTTATTTTGAGCACTGAGTTGCAAGTACAGTCGCAGTGACAAGGAACATGCAGTGTCCAGTGTGTGCAACTCACCCGGGCAAAATATTCCTCCTTCCTCCCGTCTCCATTGTAATATTCATCAGATGATGGAGGTGAGGGGTGGCACCGGGTCACCCGTCGTCCCCAAGCTCGGTGGCTGCGCAGGAGAGCTGTGTGCCAAATAAAAATAGTATATTATTGACCAGGACCACAAGCAGAGCTATGCTACCACATTCTCATCACTGCAATGTTGTTTTATCTGTTTATTTACTTTTGAAGAGCAGTATCATCTGAGCCTAGAGAAATAAGGGGAAATTCAAGTCACCAGCTAAGGTGAACTAGGAGATGAATAAGTTATTTCTACCTCGTCTTTCTTCATAACTGCATGAGTTATGGTTCAGAGTAGAAGAGCTGATTGAACCTATTCCAGTGACCCAGATCTTATCCGTGTACTAATCTCTCCAGCTGCATTTCCAGTGTGTGCTGGTAGCTGCTCATTTAGCCTAGGCTCTCAGGCCGGTGCTCCCAGCATAATCCTGCCACACGGGGCTGCCTCTACTGGGTAAATACAAATATAAAAAAAAATCTTGAGAGAAGGAAAGTCTCTAGGCTCTCAGGCCAGTGCTCCCAGCATAATCCTGCCACACGTGGCTGCCTCTACTGGGTAAATACAAACATTAAAAAAAAAATCTTGAGAGAAGGAAAGTCTCAAGAGGAGCAGCAAACACCTAAAACAAAACCTTTCTTTAGTCCTATCCACTTAAAACATGCAGTTAGACAGGAATACCTGAGGCAAGATGACAACGCGTTGATGACGAGCAAGGGTGATGCTGACCCTGAGGTTGTCCAGGGGCCAAGATGCACTTTGCTTCTTTCCTGAGCAGTCATTCACGTACAGCCCTGCTCCCGGCCGCTGAAGGATGCCCTAGAACTCAGCAATTGGTTTCATAAAACACATCAGCACGGTTGTTTATATTATTATTCCCCCCTCCCCGTCATACAGTGGCCGTATCTATTTTCAAAGCAACTCCATGCACCTGCCCACACATCAGGCAAGACAAGTTAGGCTCCATTAGCAATAGATGAGGGTGAAAATTGAACACTATTGCCATAAACACCACTCAGAGTCTAAAAAGCGCCTGAGTTATAGGCATCCTGTTGAACACATGCATTAAGCAGCGCGTTCCTTCCAAACACTTCAGCACACGCGCACGTGCCTCTAGGCACCTCAATAAATCCCCTAGTACAGCAGATAATATTTGCCATTAAAAATACCTGCCTTAGTCCTTGGGAATGCCAACAGAGAGGAAACAACCGTAAAATACCTTTTGGTTAAGCATTAACAGGTTGCAGATTGGCACCAAGCGGCGACGTCTCTTTCTGGCTAAGGTACTTCCAGGCGTAGATCATAGTTCCCGCAAAGTCACGGATCACGAAGACTCACCTGGGAACGGCACATCCTCGTCCTCGGCAAGGCACAGGCGTCTTGACGCTCCGACGGACTCGCTGTCCTTCCGCTGGTCCTACCTAAAGGCATCTTGAGACATCATACTTGACACCAAGATGGTTTGTGAAAGTACTTTATTGGTGACCATGTACTCTGTACACTTCAAACCTTGTGCAAAAAAACACCCCAAAACGCTCTACTTGCACCAGCGTGAGCGAGAGCTACCGGTGGGGCCGTTCACAGCCCGAGCTTCACGGTGCAGAAAATTAAAGCCTCTCTCTCCAAAGAGCCTCCTGGGCACTTGCTACCATCAGATAAATGCAGGGAGTTTCTGGGAAGGGGACAAGTCCTTACACCGCAATGCTGGGCCGTCCGGGTCTCGATTTCCCCTTCTGATGCTCCGTTATCAAGTGTCGGTTTCGTGTAACGAGACAAATTCAAAATCCGATCCGTAGAGCTTGGAAATGACGGGAAGAGGTTTCCAGCGGAGCAGGGACTCACTTGTCGTCCGGGCCGCCCTCCGGCAGCAGGGCGCCGCGGGAGCCCTTCCCTTTGCGGATGCACAGGCCGCAGTCCAGCTCGACGTCGATGTCCCCAAATTTCAGCTGGCAGGATTCGTTGCAGCTGCAGGAGAGACGGGAATGTCATTGGGGTACCACACTCATCCCGAGGCCACCCAGGAACCTCCCTGAAGATGTAGTGTCCGTTCAAGCCCCGAACCACCCCACGCTCTCTGTAGACACAGAGCTGGTTGCGTTGACCTACCACAGTCCGGACACCACATTCCCACAATAACGTTGAGTTTAGCTACTGCTCTTGCCCGTCGCAGCTGGGAATGTTTGGGGATTTTCTCCCAACACGTACCAATGAGAGGCGACGGAGTTGACTGCCATGACGGCGAGGGCGCCGGCGTAGTGCCAGCAGAAGCACATGGTGAGGAACACGAAATTGCCACGGTCAGTCGGATCCCAGCCCGGGCCTCCCCACGGAGGGGACAGCACAAACCCCATCTGGGCACAGGAGGGAGAGACATCAGGCACAAGCACTTGGGCGCTTTATCGTAGCCACCTTGGCTTTCCTCCACCCATTTTTACCAATGAGTTGACCGTTTTTTTGTGGCAAACTGTGGACCAGAGGCAAAATCAGCTCCGGTGACACCCAGACAACTCCATCCCTCTCCTGTGGCCCCATCCCAAGCCCTCGCGCACCGACCTGCCAGAACCAGGAGCCCTGCAGGAGGAAGGAGCTGGTCCTGAAGAGCTCCAGGACGAAGTGGTCTCGGATGAACACTTCCAGGAGCGTGCAGAGCGCTCCGGCAAAGATGCCTATGGCCAGCAGGCCACGGAGGTGACTATCCAGCGCAGCCTCGCTGTAGTCGTGGGAACAGAAGAGCAAACCTGCCGAGATTTACGTTGTGTTAGGAAGAGGATGCTCGGGGATTTTCCTTTTTTTTAATTTTATTTTTAATCTGAGCGTTGAGGCCTTGCCTCAACCACAAAACTAGAGCTGTTGTCCCAAACACTAACATAGCGGATCCTTCAAATGAAGGGCCAGAACTGCTCGTTACCACCTCTCTAAAGACTCCCCAAGACCCCGCGTTATCTGTGCGTTACCTTCGATGAGCAGAGCTATGGCCAGCGCGAGACGATCCAAGCCGAGAGGCAGCTTGAGGGGCGAATGCGAGACGACTTCCACGACGCCGGAGAGGAGGAAGAAGAGGTACATGGTGGTGTAGTGCCAGGGGGTCAGGTCCGTCCAGCTGTGCGTCTCGGGACTGTAGAGCAGCATGTGGGGACCAGGAGGAGCGAATTGCTCGGCCAGGATGCCTGGGCAAGGGGAGCAGAGAGGTCACGCGTTTCCTAAAGCTGGTGGGCAAAGGTTCCTCAAGAAGGCTGGAGAGCATCATCCAGCATCATCCAGAGGAAACGCAGCCAGTTCCCCCAATACTGAGCACGCGTCTGGGCTGCCCCAGACCCGAAACAGCCGCTTGCCACCACGAGCAGCCCCTGCAGGGATGGCAGCTGCAAAACTGTGCGTAGACGTCGGGCCCGAGGCTCTGCAGCCCCTACCTGCGAGAGCAAAGAAGGCTTTGACCGTCCCTTCGAGGACTTCCAGGCGCTGGGTGCCATAGCTGGCCGCATCGTCGGCGTTCGCTTTCCGCCTGAGGTACTTGAGAGGGTATTTCACGGACCACCAGAGACCAAAAATGAGGAAGAAGGTGCCCCGGAGGGCGTTGCCGATGAAGCTGGACGGCATCGGGCTCGCTTGCTGCTCGCTGCGCCTGAAAGGACAAACGGAGCCTGGAGACACTTATGTCCCTCGGTTGGGAGGTCTCTGCATGGGGGCCACATCCCAAGAGACCCCAGCAAGTACCAGCCCTGTCCCTGCTGCAGATGGGTGATGCCAGAGATGCGAGGCCTCCAAGGAGAAGCTTGGGTTCACGTACTCAGGATATTGCAATAAAAATAAGAACGATCCACAAGGACAGAAATGGACAACTCTAGCAGCATAGGGGGCTTTTGATGTTACCTTGTGATGGTCTTCCCTTGGGCAAGACTTTTCTCCGTGCCCTTTGCAGCCCTCTGCCTCTAAAGGAGGGCTCACACTCTCCCTGCAGCCCTTCTCCTTCCCCACAACTGTGATTTACGCAAAAAAACCCATTACTCAGTGCTGCAGATGGGTGATGCCAGAGACGCGAGGCCTCCAAGGAGAAGCCTGGGTTCACGTAGTCAGGATATTGCAATAAAAATAAGAATGAGCCACGAGGACAGAAATGGACAATTCTAGCAGCATAGGGGGCTTTTGATGTTACCTTGTGAGGGTCTTCCCTTGGGCAAGGCTTTTCTCCGTGCCCTTTGCAGCCCTCTGCCTCTAAAGGAGGGCTCACACTCTCCCTGCAGCCCTTCTCCTTCCCCACAACTGTGATTTACGCAAAAAAACCCATTACTCATCGCCGGAAAAGCTGCCACCCCAAGCCCAGCCTACACCAGGAGTTCCTCGCATGGCAAATCACATCCTTGCCGTGTTTATAAATACCAAAGGAAATTGCCAAGCCCGGACTAACAACTCCAGCACGTTCTCCAAGTCCTCCCACACTAGAAAGTAATTAGATGCTGCAAAACTAGGGGAGGATGTGGCGTGGCAAGCGCCCCAGGTAAGAGAGAGCTCTGCAAGACTCTCCTGGTCAGGGACGGACGGCAGGGCTGGAATCGGATCACCGGGCTCGGGCTTTCCCGGCTCAGCCTGCCGGGACAAGAAGTGCGGCGTCTGGATTTGGAGCCTGGCGTCACCCGTTGCCTCCCAGGGACGCGGGTGACCTGGGCGAGACCCGGGGCTGTTTACAGAGATGAAAAGATTCTTTTTGGGAGGGAAGTCTGTTCAACAGCCTTCCAAGGGGACAAGAAATGCCCTGTCCTGGGAGTTTTCTTGGGAATTGGTTACAGCTATTTTGGATGCTCACTTTAGCACGAGATGGTTCATTCCCCAAAAGAGTCTTTGCCGACTACAACCTGGATGCCTTGTCCAGGACAAACACCTCCATCCCTCAGGTATCCACGTGCTAAAGTGACTCCAAATAAGCATTACTGAAGCACACACTTAACACGGCGTTGTTGTGCGGTCCGAAACCAGCTTTGACCCCTGTCCTCCAGGGACCTAACCGCAAGGACAACAGCCTGGAGCTGGAGGCAGGAGTTTAACCTGATCAAGATACATAACTGGAATGTTTGTGCTACACGCCTCATTGGAGAGGAGGAGCAGGAAGCAGGCCCGGGATATTGGGAATGAGAATCAGCACATTGCAGCCGCCGCGCAAGAAGCTGCCCTGAGCACCTCCTCTCACCTAAGCAGCCATCATCCTGATGCTCGTTGCACACCCTGCCTTCATCCAGGTTATCAAGCACCCCAAAACCGCTGGCTCCCCTCCAGACTGTCCCTAGGGTCCCTTGTCCCGAGCATCTCTCCTCCAGGGCAACAGCTTCACCCTACCCTGCAGACCCGAGCGCCGCTTGGGTTGGTTATTTTGCACTGTGAGCAACCTGGCCTGTCAGGGGACTGGAAATGTCCCAGTCACAAGCTATTACCTGAGCTGCCCTTTTCCCTCCCCGCTGCTTCCAGGCCACAACACTTAAGATTAATAGTCATAAGGCAACTGCCATCTCGCCTTACGGCCCATCGCACTGACTAGTCACAGCGCTCCCCGCGCTCCCAGCTCCGTCTTTCTGAGAGGGAGACGTTTCTGCTCCAGTTCCAGCATCTCCCCGAGCCTCAACTCTGTCCCTCATCCAGCAAAACACCGCAGACACCGATTTCCATCCAAATTGAATGTCCCTTCTCCAAGGCATGGGCTAGATTTTCCCTGTGGAGTGCTTGGCTCACCATGACACAGGATGGAAAGGAGCTCAAGGACACACAGACATCCTACAAACACCACGGACGCTTCAACGCATCCTAACCAGGCAGATAACCCTCGCGCACGTGATCCTCACCCAACGGCAGAGGCCCAAGCCCACCAGGAAACCCTTGGGCATCACGAAGCTCCAAAACTCGTCTTCGGCAGGGCCATTTCAACCCATTTTATCACAAATCATCATTACAGAAAACCTCAGGCTCTCGGAGGCCGCTCCTCCTCATCAGCCCTGCCTCTGGCCATGCTCAAGAGGCCACATGGGGCCCACGCAGATGCTCACCAACGTATTCCTCTCTACGGGGAAGGAAAAGCAGAAGAGGGATTTACCTGTGGCCTCTCCCGCTCCCGACGCGAGCAGCAAGGAGCAGTTATGACTCGGAAGGGGCAGATAAAGGGAGAAGCGGCGCGGGGAGGTGTCTCGCGGACAGGATGTTTAGAGCCCAACAAACTCGAAGCCCTCTGAGTCAACCGCCTTTCACAACCAGGGCGCCTCATGCCTGCTATTAAAAAAAAAAAAAAAAGAGGCTCCCAGGGTTTGCCACAAAAAATAAAATAAATTCAGGAAGAGCCACCAATCCGGTTCCCATAGCAACCACAGCTCTGCAGTTTTTAGGTTGTTTTTTGGATAGCCGAGAGAAGAGCCAAGGAAACACAAGGCCGTGGCACTGCCTGGCCCAGCTGGGATCTGCTGGAGGGTTTGAAGCCTCCGAGCTCGACCAGCACTTGCTCAACCAGCCTTTTGGGATGGCCTGGCCTTGGAAAAGGGGCTTGCGGGTAGGAGCTTCAGGGCCAGGGGCTCCCAAAGCAGAGCAGAGCCCTTGCGAGAGCAGAGGGGCTTCTAGTGTCACCCAAACCAAAGCTTCAGGACCCACACGGTGTCTACCTTACCCAGCAACGTAAGAACCTCACAGATAGCCCCCAAAGCAGCACAGCAAGGAAAACATTACCTGAAAAGTGCAGCACCAGCCCACGTCGCCTCCAGGAAGGGAGCCCCAACAAGCCCTTTGCAATTTGCTCTTCTGCAAGCACCGTCCAAGCGCGTGGTGCTGGCAAACATCCCCTGCTCGTCCCCAGGGGCAAACCAAGAGAGTGTAGACTTTCGGGAAGCAGCAAGAGGGGAAGGTGGGGAAGAGGGGAAGCAATGAGGAGCAGCTGGGAAAGATCTGCTCCCAGCTGGAGCTGCTCCTCTCTGCTGAGTTAAAGGGCCAACAAGCAGAGAAGGTGGCTGGTGTTGAAGCAGTTGCCTTTCTGTTGCTAGAAAGTGAGAAAAGTTGTAGGTGTAAGAAATGGTGATAGAAATGTTGACTCTTTTAAACTATTCCTACAATAAAAAAATGGGGGGAAATTACAACCAAGCCTTGGGAAGTGTAGCCTAATGGTCGCATACCTGGAAGGCTGGTGGCAAAACCCCCCCAGGCACCGAGTAGGTCGATGCCACCGACTCCATGCTAAAGCCACCGGCGGCACGTAGGGATGCTGTTCCTTAGCTGCAAACTGCCACTGTGTGGGGTGATATGGTGGGACAGCACCAGCACCCTCCTCGGGGCCCCCTGGCAAGCTTCCCTTCCGTGAAGCTTCATCTTCACTCTTGATACTAATAAATAAATGCAATGATTTTCTTCTGTTTGCTGGGGGCGGCGGGAGGCCCTGGCTAATTACACGAGCCCCGTGGACGGGTGGCTGCCGGGGCTGTGCAGAGTATCATTACATCATCATTACACGGATTGCTAACACGGGCGTTCATCAACAGGCTGCAGAGGAGGAGAAGCAGGTGGCATAAGCAGGGGCCGGGCTTGCTCCACTTCCAACACTATTATTCCAGGCCCACATAAACGTGCCCGCAGACGAGGCCGGCGGCAGATGCTATCGGCAGGCACGAGCACGAAATGAGCGGTGCGCGGGTGCCAGAGCCTTTGATGAAGGGCTTGGCTTTGGAGCAGGAGGAAGAGGAGGGTGTCAGCGTGCTCAGGACTTTTGGGGCTCTCGATGGGGTTCTTCTGCAAGGAGAAGTGAGTCAGCCTCCCCGGGGGTGGTTATCACCTTCGGGACAAACACCGTCTCCTTCCTGCCTTAGATTTCTGATTCCAGGGGTGACGACAACATCGGGCTGGTGTCGCACGAGACAAACCCACACCGGCCCCAGGGCAGTAGCCAACACAACAAGGTCCTTCCAAGCTGGCTCATCTCATAAGCCAGCCATGGGCATGTACGGTGCTTGAAACCTGGGTCAGGACCACCACGTGGTGCTTGTGTCGCACGTAACCGAGTGTCAACTCTGTCTTGGTGGGTCCATAGTACAGGAAATAAATATGAGGACGCCCCGTGGCTTCACCTGGCTGATATAACTCCCTTTCTAAGCAACTTGCAACCACCCCCTCCTTGCTTTATGCTTAAGCTGTTTTGCAAACGTCTTTTAGCTTAAGCAAAAGTCCTGAAATTGCCTCTCAAAGCCCCTTCCTCTCAAGCAGACCCTCACCAGCTGCGGCTCAGCTAGAAGGTGACCTTCTAGGGACAGAAATGCCCTCCAAAGGAGGCGACCAAATTAGTGAGCGCCGTAAAGGCAGCGCTAAGAAGTCTGCAGATCGAGGGAGGCAACGAGGCAGACGAGGAGCCACTCGGAGCTGTAGGTGCTGCCACCAACCTCTGGCAGAAGCAGCTTTGGACTCGTCTGGGCAGAAAGGAGGAGGGTGTTTGCAAGGTGACGGAAACCGCCGCCAGCCTTGAGCGCGTTCCTGCCGCTCGGCACCAGCTTTCCCACAAGCTGCTGCCCTCGTGCGGCTATTCCATGGGAATGGTTCCTCTTATAGACTCTCGGGCTCTCCAGCTTTGCACTTGAATTGAAGGATAT